TGGGCCAATTGTTTCGATACATTCAAAGCATCACTTTTACTGACGCCTTCCCTTCCCTTATAATGCATTTGAGCCCCACTTTCCAGAATAGCCCTCCGGAATAGACCCCGCGATAAGGGGGACAATATGTGGGCTGATACCGAATAGCTGCCGGCGCTCTCACCGAATATAGTTACCTGATCCCTATCCCCACCAAATGCGTGTATATTATCTCTAACCTATAATTCAATAAAAATTTATAAAAATAACGCAAAAAATTGATAATTTAATACCCATTTAAGAGCCAATATCTGGTCTAAGAGTCCAGCATTTCCGGGCGCCGACTCCACCCCTCCATACGTGAACCCGAAATATCCTAATCTATAGTTAATGGTCACAACCACCACATCATGTGAGGCCAAAACCATGCCATCATAATAAGACGTGAAACTGGACCCTGCCACAAAGGCACCCCCGTGTATCCAAAACATCACCGGTTTTAGTGCATCTGATGTACGGTTTTGTGAACTAATTGTCCATATGTTGAGAAACAGACAGTCCTCGCTCACTTTGGTATCATTGCTAGGCTGTGGACACGAGTCCTTTGCTTTCGTGGCGTCGATTAGCTTTCAAATACATGGGTATATAAGAAATGCTATTTAAATATAAATGTTTTTAAATTTATTTAATTTATACTTTTATGGGTGTTTTAATAGGTTCTGGTCCAGCGAACCGCAGGTTTCCAACCGGGGGCTCGGCATATGGTATACCTATAAACTGGTCAAAGCTTTTGTTAAAGGCTTGTAGTGTCTGTCCTCTCACTACACCCGAAGTAGTGTTCACATCAATACTGGTAATGCATTTAATACATGAAATAAACAATAAACCCAAAAGTATATTCATTTTAGTTTTAATGCTAGTAAATGGAGCAAATTAAAATAACTTATAAAACATTGTCTATTCTTTATGCTATTTATATTAACTAACAAATGTCTTATCAGTGTGTGAACTAATTTCTGAAACGGTAATTGTGTGTTTACATGCATTTGTACAGTATTACGGGTACCTATAAAAATATTTTAAATTTAATTAAATTTAATTTTTATATAATTGTGATTAAGAGTTAATTTAGAGACAAATAAGATATAAATTAATTAAATAATTATTCAATACCATAACATTAATTAAGTTAAATAAAAATATGAATTTCAATTTTATTAAATAATGTAATTATTTTACTAAATAAGTGTAAATAACAAGAAATATAGCATATGACAGATTATAAAAGGATTGATAAATTGACACATTTTATAACAATCAACAATTGTGTACTTATTCAGAAAGTATAAATTTTATTTTATAAATTACTCATTTGCTATTTATATTCTAGATTATTAATTACTAGATTATTACCTAGAAGTATTTTATTAAATAAGACAATGGACATTTTTGACAAAAGTTTTAGAACTAGTGAATTTTATTGTATGTTATAATTTATATCTTATAAATAATACAAAATATAATATTATGAGAATGATTTGATATTTTAATTAAATATTATTTGTGTGATTGGATTTCTAGTTTGTGTCTAGTACATTTATGTCTACGTAGATTACTTTTGAACGCAAAACTTGTATTACAATTATTTTCATGACAAACAAATGGCTTTTGTCCCGAATGTATGTTTTCGTGTTCATTGAGACCAACTTTTGATGTAAAACTTTTGCCACATTTTTCTCATCACATTTGAATAGCTTTTGTTTCAAATGAACAGTACTTTTGTGTCGATTTAAATTTGTTTTTGCATTAAATGTTTGCTTACATTCACTCCAATCGCACACAAACTTTACATTTAAATGAATGCTATTTTTATGTCGAATTAGTTGAGGTAAACTAAATTTAGAAAACGGTGTTAGCAACTTTACTGTTTGTTTACCGAAAACAGGGCTTACATACAAAAGCACAAGTAACTCTGGTTGAAAACTACATTTTGAAAACGGTGTAAAAAGATCATCACATTTGAATAGCTTTTGTTTCAAATGAACAGTACTTTTGTGTCGATTTAGATTTGATTTAGTATTAAAACGTTTGCCACAATTCTCTTCATTGCATTTGAATAGTCTCTCATTTAAATGGACGCTATTTTTATGTTCATTTAAATGATTCTTAGTTTTATATTCTTGTTTGCAATTTTTGAAATCACATTTATATTGTCTAGAATTTGAATGTTTTAATTGATGTTTTTTTTAAAACACTTTTATTTAATGCCTTAAACTGACAATTAGGCCAAAAACAGTGGAAATAGTGATAAGTGTTGAGTGTATTAATGGTGTTGTGTTTGGAAAGCATTTTATCACTTATTTCACATGAATTCAAATCAATTGAATTGCAATTCATTGACAAATTCACTGCATTTTCGCATTCAATCCCTTCACACAAAACACTTGCATTTTGTGACAAAAAACAATGCATTTCGTGTAAACTTTGACACAAATGCTGAAAAACATACAATTTATTCAAAGAGAACTTCATTTTGATCACTGAATTATTAGTCATTTTTATTTAAACTAATTTATTAAATCATTTATATTCTATCTATTTTATTTATTTTGGACAATCTTAAGTTGAAATGTGTTTAAAATGTGATCACAAAAACTAAATTGAAACACATTATGCTTTGCAATCAAAGTTAGCATACAATGAATAAAATGAGAAACCTTTTTCTAATCAAACAGATGTCTAACTGATAAGCAGTGTTAGGATTCTTAGGACTTTTAAGCTAAAATTAGAGGTTCTTACACACAAAATAGATTTTACAATAGAACAACTTTAGAGAATAGAAAATTATAAAACATTATAAGATAGATAAATATACTAATAATCTTATAGCAATACACTACTTAACTTAATTGTGCACTGGATTAACTACACAAAATAGATTTTACAATAGAACAACTTTAGAGAATAGAAAATTATAAAACATTATAAGATAGATAAATATACTAATAATCTTATAGCAATACACTACTTAACTTAATTGTGCACTGGATTAACTTAATTATGCACTAAATTAACTTAATTATGCACTGGATTAACTTAATTTATTTAGAGAATTAAGGTAATTTAGTTCAGAAATTAGATATAGTTATTTTAATTCATGACAATCATTTTAATAAGAAATTTTATTAATTTCGTACAGAATTAAGTTAATCCAATTAATAATAACGTTAATCCAGTACACACTTAAGTTAATCAATTTCATAATTGCGTTAATTTAATTCAGAATTGAGTTAATTCAGTTCATAATTAAGTTAATCCAGTGAAGAATTAAGTTAAGTAGTGTATCGCTATTAAATTATTAGTATATTTATCTATTTTTATAATGTTTAATAATTTTCTATTTTCTAATGCTGTTTTATTGTAAAATCTATTTTGTGTGTAAGAACCTCTAATTTTAGCTTAAAAGTCCTAAGAATCCTAACACTGCTGATAAGTGTTATCACTGATAACAATGAACAAATATTTTGTACATTTAATAGAAATAGAAATGCTTTAAAATCTTTAAGATCAACAAAAACTATTTTATTAAGCAAAATAAAATAAGTTATTTGAGTAATACTGTAATTTTTAAATAAGCCAGATGCTATGTTCACGGCTATTGTTTAATATTGTATTTTAAACCAACAATTTATACGAAATAATTTCCCCAAAACTTGTCGCATACCTCTCCAAATGGGTCGTCAAATACATGTTTGGCTTTCAATGGATTAAACTCTAAAACTTTGGACTTTTTATCCTGAAGTAGAGGCCATTGAATGTCTGGTTTACTATTGAATTACAAGATATTATGTGTTATCAACTAATTATACCCTTTATAAAACTACAATTAATACCCATTTTTAGCAAAATTAGTCCACATTTGCATCACTTGTTCACTGAAATCTTTGTCCACTTGTGTATAGCTCTTAGGATCAAGAAATGGTAGGCCAAACACAAACTCAATGTCCGCCCCGTGACAGATACCCATATCGGTACGACATCCCAATTGTGCCATTTGTTTGGTCTCATACGTGAGTTCATAGAAATACACATTTAATGGCGAATGTGTGGCATATTGTTTAGCGAAATGATATGTGGGACATGTGACAACCAGGTCACCAAAGAAGGCATAAAATGCATGTTTCACAGCATTAGGATCACTGGTGTTGACATTCTTGAGATAAAATTCACTGATTTTTGTCTCATTTAATCCTTGAAATAAAGATTTCGAGGCATTCACTCCAGACATGAATGTCTTTTCAGTCATATTTATCTTTTCAATGTCTGGTAATACCATAGTAGCGAGGGTTGGGCCCTCATTCTGCACTACCCCTCCTATGATATCTAAATCTATTTTAAAATAAATCACTTTAAATATTAAAAATCATAACAAAAATCAGAAATAATACATGGACATACCTGTGTTATACTTGTGCTCATCAAAGGCCTTTTGTGCAATAAGTGGTAATACCTGATCCCCTTCCAGTGGCACCTGTGCGACGGGCGTGTATTTAGTGATCTGTTTTGCGTCGACTTTCCGCAAACACTCCAACCATTCATTTCCACTACAATTGAAACGTTGGGCCAATTGTTTCGATACATTCAAAGCATCACTTTTACTGACGCCTTCCCTTCCCTTATAATGCATTTGAGCCCCACTTTCCAGAATAGCCCTCCGGAATAGACCCCGCGATAAGGGGGACAATACGTGGGCTGATACCGAATAGCTGCCGGCGCTCTCACCGAATATAGTTACCTGATCCCTATCCCCACCAAATGCGTGTATATTGTCTCTAACCTGTAATTCAATAAAAATTTATAAAAATACTGCAAAAATTGATAATTTAATACCCATTTAAGAGCCAATATCTGGTCTAAGAGACCGGCATTTCCGGGCGCCGACTCCACCCCTCCATACGTGAACCCGAAATATCCTAATCTATAGTTAATGGTCACAACCACCACATCATGTGAGGCCAAAACCATGCCATCAAAATAAGCCGTGAAACTGGACCCTGACACAAAGGCACCCCCGTGTATCCAAAACATCACCGGTTTTAGTGCATCTGATGTACGGTTTTGCGAACTAATTGTCCATATGTTGAGAAACAGACAGTCCTCGCTCATTTCAGTACCATTTGGCATAACACTGATAAGCTGTGGACACGAGTCCTTTGCTTTCGTGGCATCGATTAGCTTTCAAATACATGGGTATATAAGAAATGCTATTTAAATATAAATGTTTTTAAATTTATTTAATTTTTACTTTTATGGGCGTTTTAATAGGTTCTGGTCCAGCGAACCGCAGGTTTCCAACCGGGGGCTCGGCGTATGGTATACCTATAAACTGGTCAAAGCTTTTGTTAAAGGCTTGTAGTGTCTGTCCTCTCACTACACCCGAAGTAGTGTTCACATCAATACTGGTAATGCATTTAATACATGAAATAAACAATAAACCCAAAAGTAAATTCATTTTAGATTTAATGTTAGTAAATGGAGCAAATGAAAATAACTTATAAAATATTGTATATTCTTTATACTATTTATATTAACTAACAAATGTCTTATCAGTATGTGAACTAATTTCTGAAACGGTAATTGTGTGTGAATTTCAGTATACCTGCATTTGTATTACCTATAAAAATATGTTAAATTTTATTAGATTTAATTTTTATATAATTAAGATTTAGAGTTATTTTAGAGACAAATAAGATATAAACTAATTAAATAATTATTCAATACCATAACATTAATTAAGTTAAATAAAAATATGAATTTCAATTTTATTAAATAATGTAATTAATTTACTAAATAAGTGTAAATAACAAGAAATATAGCATATGGCAGATTATAAAAGGATTGATAAATTGTTACATTTTATAACAATCAAAAATTGTGTACTTATTCAAAAATATAAATTTTATTTTATAAATTACTCATTTGCTATTTATAAATAAAATCGGGAATAAAATATTTGATTAAATATTATTTGTGTAATTGTATTTCTAGTTTGTGAACAGTATTTCTATGTCTAACAAGGTTACTTCGGGACGCAAAACTTGTATTACAATTATTTTCATGACAAACAAATGGCTTTTCTCCCGTATGAATGTTTTTATGTTGATTGAGGCTTGGTTTTGATGTAAAACTTTTGCCACACTTTTCTTCATCACATTTGAATAGTTTTTGTTTCAAATGGACAGTACTTTTATGTTTAAGTAAACCCTGTTTTGTAATAAACTGTTTGTCACATTCACTCCAATTGCATATAAATTTCACATTTAAATGAACCATATTTTTGTGTACACATAGATTTGATTTACTTTTAAATATTTTATTACATTTATGAAAAATGCATTTAAAAGATTTTACATCTGAATGTTTTGATTTATGATTAGCTAATTTATATTTAAATTTTGTTTTAAACTGACATTTAGGCCAAAAACAGCGGAAATAGTGATAAGTGTTGAGTGTATTAATGGTGTTGTGATTGGAAAGCATTTTATCACTTATTTTACATGAATTCAAATCAATTGAATTGCAATTCANGCATTTTATCACTTATTTTACATGAATTCAAATCAATTGAATTGCAATTCATTGACAAATTCACTGCATTTTCGCATTCAATCCCTTCACACAAAACACTTGTATTTTGTGACAAAAAACACTGCATTTTATCTAAACTTTGACACAAATCCAGAAATCCACACAATTTATGCAATGAACGCTTCATTATAAAAATAAAACTTTATTAAATAACTACAAATTATTACATTTAAACAAACTTTTAATTTGAATATCTTTTTTTTGTAAAAATGTGATTTTAAAATACACGTGTTTTCAATGATAAGACAGTACATTTACAATTGATGTGAACAACACTTTAAGAACCTGTATGTTAAAGTTCAACCAATCATATACTGTATATATTTTTGATATCCCATCCATTTATAGGATTATCAAAATCTGGTCATAATCTTTCCTGGATAACTCTGTGTGTCTGTAACTAAAATAAGCTATTTTAAAATGTACAAGACAAATTTATTGTTGATTATTAAGTTTCAACAATAGTACCACAATCAGAGATATTATCTATAAATATAATATTTGATATTAAAATAAATGAAAAGTCTTTAAATGAAAGCATACTTCATATCCACGAAATCTGTTTATAATAAACAGTTTCCAACAGTAAAAGCCAATACATTGTTCACCAATTTTTTCCAACAAATTTATTATCTATTAATTAAAAAAATACTTTAAATAACATTTAATAAATAAATTGTACAGTACAAACATACCCTGAATTTAAACTTGAATGGTACTTTATTTCCGTGAGTTATGTATGAATTTAAAGCTTTAAAAGTATGATTAGCCTCATTATAGAAAGTGGATGATATTTGTATAATAAACAACAAAAACATTGTAAAAACAATTGCGAAAAATGCGATAATAATTTTGATAATTATATGACTGTTGCCGTAGACAACAAAATGCATCAAAAAGCTAACTATTAGACTAAATACAGACCAAACAATAAACAAATATTTAGACCAATAATTGTCATTATATTCACTGATTTCCATATGAGTTGAATTCAATTCACGCAATGTTTTTATAATAAACCATTCAATGTTATTATTGATTAATTTGTGTTTGAGCATGGTATTAATATATCGGAGTTTTAGTTTTAAATAATACGTGATTATGAAGTAATAAATAGTTTGATAAACTAGCAAGTTTAAGAAATATACGGCATATATCGTAATTATAATACAATGGGGTATAGCTATGAGTAAAATATCTAAAAAGTTATTTGTTAATACAAAACACATTAAACAAAATAGAAATGATACTAGCACACATAAAACTAGTGTGAAATGTGTTAATTTAAATAGGATCCGGCACATTTTAGATAGTTTACAAACAATTTTACAATCATTGATTGCCAGACTTTTGGGCGCAATTAAACCCGAAATCATTTGAAATACTCGTAAATCCGTGGGTTTTATACCATTTCTATAGTTAATGTAATTAATAAGTTGTGAGCCAATTGAAAATAATGAGACCAGGGTGTGAATGAATGCTATAATATACTCGGTGAATATAAAATGATCAAAATTACCCAGGCACAAATGATAGGAATCTGATTTACGATATTTATTTACATAGTTATACAATACAATTGAATTCTTACAGATCACATAAATATATACAATTAATTGCATTAATGGGTAATAAAATACATGTCTCTTAAAATGATATCGAGGTCTGAATAGGGATAACCCTATTCTGTAGAGATGACTGTCCACACCATTCACTCGCAGTACATGAGGTATGAGTTGATATAAATCAAAATCACGTCTCATTTTAATTTTAAAATATTTTAGAGAAATTTTGTAAATCATAAGACAGTATTACAACAAATATATCAAAGTATGTTATCATTGAAAATGTTTGCAATATTCTGCATGTGAAATATTTGATGTGAAAAGCATATTTATTTGTCATTTAAAAGTTATATAATTTATGGTAATGTTTATGCAAAATTAAGCATTAATTTAAAGTTTAATGATCATTTACATTCATTTATAATTATATTTCATTACGAATATGACCATAATAGATACTAGAAATTGTATAATTAGTAAAATTAATGCAAATATTGCAATAAAAATAAAATTATTATAATTCATTTGATTATTATGCATTAATACTAAATATTTGCATAACAATATGACAATTAATTATAAGAAATATTTAATATTTCACAATGAAAATGTTGAAATCTAACTTTAGATTTATGTCTATTATAAATGATTAAAACTATTAATTTTGAGAAAATGTTATTTATTTCACAATATTGTACAGTATATGAAGTAACATTATATTCACCAAATGTTTGTTTCAATGCATATCTGCATAATTTAATTAAACTTTATAATGTTTAAAATAATAATACTTATTATTACAGCATTAAAATTATTTTAGCAAACAAATATGAATAGATTTTACAGTTTCATAAGAATTTTTCAGTTATTTTCAATACTATTCCTAATAAACTTATTTATT